CACAACAACAACAAGTCCGTGCGCCTGCGGACAACCTTCCTTCTACTTCTCTCCCTAGTAGCGCGAAATTGAAAAGACTCTTGGACGTTTATCAGAGCTGCTAGGGCAACTTGAAGGTCCGACGTATGGAAATAATCCGACATGTTGGTTGTTATTTTCCTGTACTGGCGCATGCCTGTGACGTAAATGCGTACGCGATGAGAGCCGCCATGAGCAGATTTGCGTTTTTACCCGTTTAGACGGAAACGTGACGGTGGAGCGTTTTTAGGATTTCCACTTTGGAGGGTGGTTTCACTTTTTTGCGTTTTTAAGCCCCAAAAACGCCGTCGCCGTGTAAACGAAAGGCACATCCGATAAAATATTATTACGTTTTCACCCGGAATCGTTTTCGTGTAAACGAAATGTTTATGTCAGGCGGTCCAACTGTATCATTAGCCTCCCCATTGCAAAACTTCTGCCAAGTTAGGGAAAATGGGTGCCACCTAAGTGCAGTACCTGGCAGCTTCCAGGCTAAAATTTGATTCAGCCTCACTACAATTTCTCATTTTTCTAAGGGACAGATATTCACATGCTGAGCACCCCATGCTGTTGGTTGTTTATGTCAATGCATGATTACTATTTCTTCAAAGATTTGTAGGACCATGAATGTAACTGTCTCAGCAGTGCATCGTGTCTACCAAGCAAAAGAGAGTGATCCGCTTGGCCCCACACTGATAGATGAGACCGCTGGACAAGCTTTATTTGATTTAATCCCTACAAACACAGCCGGGTAGACTTATACTTAATAATTCATGCACTTCGAAATCCCTTTTGACTAATTCTTTCATTGGGGTGTCTGAATAGTGGGTTTATTTGCAAGGCCTAGCAAAAAAACTCAAAACACCACAGCATACCTTTCACAAGCATTTCCTTTTTTTGTTGCTTTTGATCTCTGGTCCCATGTCATGATGCAACTGATGCGGTTTACAACCATATGAGGACTGAACAACTGTCTGGTGCAAACACAAATATGTGGATTTCAGCAGAGTTAGAAAAGGTTGTGTTTACTTACAACTGGCTGCAACATTTCAAAATTTCCTCATAATGAGTAGACTGTCAGGATATGGGCTGAACTCAAAATAACCCTGCTGAAAAAAAGACATGCACAAATTTCTGTGATGGCCCAGGCTGGATGGTAACCGAGAGCTGGTTCCATAAAAAACAAACAAACATGATGTTCAGTTCCATACCATGCTCAAACATGAATTTTTCCACCAACGTGGACGAAAACAACAACAACACTATGACAGTGTTTCCTGCACTGCTATTGACCACAACACTTACACAACACAACACTTGTAAAAAACATTGATTTTTCAATATTTATCGATACTGTTTAATGGTTTTTGTTTTTCCCTGTGGTATCGATTCAGTATTGGTATCAAGGTATTTTGGTCTGGTATCGTATCAAAGTCATAGTTTTGGTATCGTGACAACACAAACATCTTATTTGGCTGTTGAATCAGCAGGGTTATTCTGGTGAAGCTTGCTGACCAAAAAAATCTTTCTGGATAGCCCAGTAGACAATAATAATTCTCCCAACACATTTAATAGAAAGAGTATTTTTACATTACTCTGAAATTGTTATTTGAAGCTAGGGATGTCACAGTACCAAAAATCTAGTAGTCGGTACCGATACCACCAAAACAATACTCGATACCCAAGTCAATACCATGGTAAAAAAAATAACAATAATACTTAAACATTAACTCCTTTATTTAAACCGTTTAACATTACAAAAACACAACATTAGTGGCACTTGGCCTTCAAATAATACATAAAATGAAACAGTTTAGCTTTACAAAAAAGATGTGCAATGCAGTCAAAGTTTTTAAGGCACAGCTTTACTATTGCAATACCTGGCCATTTGAAGTCATGTCTTCTTGATGAACAGTGGCACATAGCCTTCAAGTGTTTAAAGCGATTTCAAACCGCGTTTGAGAGTGTCTTTGGTTCACTGCAGTTTTAAGGAGAAAATACTCAGCAATGGTGTTGACTTATGAATTTGCACATGGTTTGTCAACACAGACATTTAGACAACATTAAAAGCTTGATTTTCACTACAGGGTGACTTTAAAACACTACTGTGATTGGAAGGAAAATAACTGGCACAGAAAATGCAGTATCAAGACATGGGCAAGTAAATAAAAAGGTAAAAATACGGGAAATTTTGTACAGTAAATACTGTTGAATACTGTAATTGGCGCTGAATTTGACGAGCAAAATAATAACGGCAATCTACTGTTTTTCTTACGAGATAATATAGTATTTTTTAGTCTAGTCAGACGTGCGACAAGCTTGCTTGAGCCCGCTCTTAACTCTGAGGAAAATCACGACGCATCAAGTCCCATCAACAGGCATACAGTAACATTACAACACAGATCTTCAATATTTTATTACGTTCTTCCGTTCTTTACCCTTTAAGGTCTGACTGAAACACTTCTAGGCGTACTGTATGTGCTGCCCCCATCAGTTCTGGAAGAATTGCAGCCTCTCTACCTTCGTTACCTGCATTGGTACTTACGCTACTGTAGAAAAACAAATTTCATCAGGATTTTAAAATGTTGCTACCGACTTGGTACCTAAGTATCGGTTCTCATGACATCCCTATTTGAAGCCTCATTCATTTCTCCATTTGGATCCTTAAAGACCCACTGCGATGAAAATAATGTTTTTCTAGGTGTTAACATGTTCTTGTGGCATTTTTCTGATGTTAGAGGACCTATCTTGAGAAAAATAAGCTCAAAGTTGTATTTCTGAGTATTTCTACATTCAAATGGCTGTGAATCAGTAGCAGACGCAAAAATGCCGGCTAAAATAGACTGGAGTTGTGACGTAGTAACTCCACTGGGCGTCTCCACACGCGACGTCTTGGAGTGAAATAATGATCGGTGATCGGTGATAACTTTGATTAACTTCGGATAATAATAATTAACGTGTATATAATACTGTTGCCCCACCGGTATTGGGGGTGTAAGCTAGCGGGAGAGACAGAGCTCTCAGCAACGGGCAGGGGGAGGGTCGTCTCCGTGCCAACGGCTCCGCCCACAGCGCAGAGGCAAATTGCTAATGAGCTACTGCCGCTCTGCTGAAGCGAAGTCCCAGAAAACGGCACAGGTTTTGTGATTTTGGCTAAAAATGGCATAATCATAATTTAAAGACCACTGGGAATGTTTAAAAATAGCTCAAAATATGATCGGAGTGGGACTTTAAAGGGATAGAACAACATGAGGGCGAGTAAATGATGACATAATTTAATGGTCTCCAACTGACAAAAGTTTCATGTTGCCTACACAGTTAACCATCTACTTTTAATAATTTAAAGAAAGTTTAAGAACATCTCACTTCCAAAACGAGCACAAAGCCTTGAAGGAATATTCCATTTCCTCTCTCTATTGCAGACTGCACTCACAAAGTACATTTAGCACATGTCAAGTTTGACATGACAGTAGACCCATTAGCAAAAGGGGTTTTAACATTCTAATCTCCGAGCCTAAAGAAAAGACAGCAATTAGCATGCTGTTAGTGCTCAATTGAGCCTTTTCCTGCCTGTAGTTGAAAAGATGGGACGCAGCTTTGAGGATAGCTGAAAGGTCACCATTCTCTTCCCTGCAGTTTAGCGATGAGCATGGAGCAGAAAAGAACTGAACCGGAATGCCCTTTTTATTACTTTTACCACTGCAAGCTCTGCACTTATACTTCACAATGTAAATCTATGTGGAATGATATCAACAAAGAAAAGAAGAATCATACATTACTGAACTATAATCAAAATTGTGTCCGTTCAGAATGTGTTGATTATTTACAATCTACGAAGACAAAGATATGCTATGAACAGATTTAAAGATGTGGGTTTTGAGTCGCATCATAAGCACCCACACACAGCTGCGCCATCAGAGAAGTGAGAAACATCCAGGCACATCTGCAATCACACATTCCCAGCATGCCTCTGTCCACCCATATACCCCCCTCAGCCACATAGCCCCCCGGTCACAGCACATTCACTGCCGTGTGTGTGGACCCCAATGAAGCCAAACATTCTGATGAGAATGACAAAGACAAGCTCTGTTCTGCCCCGCTAGCAAGTCTGTTTGATTTCTTTCTGTCACAGTGCCTTAGAAAGAAAAAACTGCTAAAAATTCAAGTAAATTATTCATGTTGTTTTGTGCTCTGAAAAACAATCCACAAAATCAAGCAGTGATTCAGTATTATGCATAAAACAAATAAAGTTCTACAGTTCTAATGTCAATGTTCTACAAAAACACCATTGCAGAGACGAAAACCTTAACCCTAATCCATTAATTAACTTACAAATATATATATATATATTATTTGCTTACAAACTAAATCAGAAAATTAATTTGATCCTACAAAAATGTCTGCCATTGCATTTTACAGATGCTAAAGCTGAAAAATCAGGCCATTAGATGGAAGAGACATCTGTCTGTCAAAACACAGCCAACTGAAAAAGTCAGCCACTGAACGCTGGTGCAATATAATCCCAGAGGGTCTTTTGTAGCGGCCACTTAGTATTCCATCCATTTCCATTACATGTGATGTTGTATGGATGTATCCTTCCTTCTGGGCCAGATGATGTCAGCTTACTGACAAGGGTTCCGCTATTGCTGGCTATCCTTGGATGATCTTATTATTCTGTGCTGCAGGAAAGATGTCTAAACCAATCACACCCTGTTAAATTTATCCCCAGAGAAAAGTTGGGGTCGAGACTGTAATTATGAGGCTAAGTATGTAAACAAAGCACCTTGCATTACAGACATACAAATGACATTCAAAACAGCCCAAACTCAATCAGCGGTTTCATTAGTGCCTCTGAGACTGGGAGAATTTGCAATATGTGCATCTCTAACTGGTGCTATACTAAGGAAAGGTTAATAATCCCCAGAAGACAATGAACCTAATAGAAGCGTGATACAAGCAGATGGACAAAAAATGAGGTATACCTGATGTTGTGGGATTTGCGCTTGATCTCGTTCCAGCAGAGATTCATGTCGTGATCAGGGTGTTTGTTCCTCTGCCCCCTGCACTGGGTGGGCAACTCCTGCCCCTCAGGATCCACCGCCGACTGGCAGGGTACACAGTGGCATCCCGGCCACGAGGGCCGCCCTGCAGCTGCAACACACAGTTAAGGATTTAGAGAACTCCCATGATCACTAATTATTATTAAACTCTGTGCTCAAGTGTTAATTTTTTCATTACACTGCCCACATCTTGTGTATGTGTCATGCAACTATTAATTCTGATGTGGTTTTCTTTTTTTCATTAGTGGAGCAAAATAATACAAAAAAAAAACAGCATGCAATGTAAGTTTGTGTCTAAAAATGTAAGTTACTTGATATTAACTGCTTGTTTATGGAATTGTAGGCTTATAAAAGCAATATCACAGTTGGTGCCCACATCTGAACCACGGCTCTGATGATATCCTGAAGCACAACACTCTTACTTGCATAATATTGCTCGATTATACAGTAGCCTTTTTTCATCATATTAACTTTTTATATTGAGAGAGATTAGAAGTAAGAGAACTTCAAAAAAAATTGCGACACATTATATAGTGGCTTTAGGAATGGAAGTCCCACTTTTCCATTAGAAGAGCCAATTGCCTGTTTTTTTTATCCTGGAATTAATGCCCATGTGCCTAAAAATACTTCACTTTTAGCTGAAGAAGCAATTTTAGGATACCATTGTTGTCAGATATGGATATATTTGCTGATATAATGATAATTTTGACAAACAGCTTTGGCGATTTCGTCTTTCACCATTCAAGTAGAGCTGTACAGTACTTGCATGCCTAGGGCTGGGTATCATTTAAAATACTGATTTTACACTCAAATACACTCAATACTGATACCTCGACTTCGATACCGGTTCCTGAACGATACTTTTTTCGATACCAATTTTATAAAACCCGTTTTAACAAGATTTAACAAGATTACATATTACCTAAAAAAAAAAACAGTTTGTTGACTTTTTTTACAAACTCAATGACTCATATAGGCCACTGAGGGGCGGAATATTTGCCTCGCACTCAAGCGCACGCATAAAGCTTGCCGCAAAGCACTGCCAAAAGTAGCCAAACGATTATGAATGTGTCAGGAAAAAATAGCAAGGAGTCATTTTAATTGTTTGTTAATAAACTAGTGTTTTCTGAGTCAGTGTTGGCTGTAAAGATGAAGTTAACGTTGCTGACTCGTCATCTCCGCAGTGTAGTGAACGCACGCGCCTATAGAGAGAAATGCACCTTTCATTTGGATTACATAATCAGAGAGTATTTGTTTTCGATTCGAATTGGTTCGTTTAAAAGTAAACATTTCAAGCTTTCTATATGCCTATTTCTCATGTCTGTGAGGCAAGTAGCCTATACGCTGAGTTTCGGTTTATTTGTGACGCGCTCCGGTTCTTCTTGCAGTCGAAGACAGAGCAACTTTCTGACAGAAAAGTATAAGGAAAAAAGGGGCTGTGTTTTGGGAAGTGAGCTGAGCCAGACTTGAACTATACCAGTCACACCACATCTCCATCATACATAATTATAATCAAACAGAAGTGATCCCTAAAATAACCAAAAAACAGGCACAGGGACAAACAAATACCCATTTGTACAGATGCACCTCAGCTGAACCCTGAAGCACACGGCAGATAAATACAATACCAGTAATGCCTGAGGGTCACGTAAGCTCTGTTTCTCTCAGCCAGAGCCAGAGTGGCAGTAACTCTGCTGTTACTTAAAGTATCGCTGGAATTCAGCACACGTCCAGAGCAAAGGGATGGAGACACGAATCATTCCAGCAAAAGTCTCATGATTAAGGAGCTTTCCCTCAATCATAAAACCCTTGTGTATTGTTCAGTGCCGCTGTCAGACTGCCTTTATGTTCCTCTCTTTGCCTTTCATTAGTCCCAGGGAGTGACTAGCCATAGGGAGTACTAAATTTCCAAAATTTTTGCACTAAGCATTTTCCATCATCAAACACTCAAAGTTAATCTTTAAAACACAAATAGTTTAATATCACTAAAACGTTGTGATGCCTAATTTATGTGGCATTTAAAATGATTGATTTTACACAAGACTTTATAAATTTAATATCTGCCATTAAGCAGCGATTGACCATAGCAGGAAAATAATACATCTGTTTTGTGAATCATTACAAATTCACCATGAAATAAATAATAAATAAATACAACCTTGCCATTTCATTTATTGAAAATGTTGTATAGTCATCCCATCCCTGTTTAGCCCCTTCATCCCACAAATCATCTACAGTACTCAAGCAGACCCCCTGCTAAATCACCATGACGATATACTGTCACCTAGTCACTGCTGCATAATCTCAGCCGACATCTGTGCAGAAATAAACACATCCGGCTGTCCGGGCCCATACGGCCGTGACACAGCCAAAACAAACAGAACCTTAGAAGATGTGTCTCAATGAGAAATTCTGTATGCTATGTTCCCCAGAGCAGTAAGTGAATTAAAGTCTCCACACGGCTCTAATGCGTCCCTCCTCAGGCGGTTCCTCTTAATTCACTGTCATTTTTCAGTCTTTCTTGAATCTCTCTCTCCCTCTCTCCCTCTCTCTCTCTCTGTTTAATGCACTGTCTCTGTGATTAATCCTGGTTGTTTATGGTTCATCAGATAGCTAGATGAGGGCGTCAGATATTGTTAAAGGTCCCCTGACATGAAATTTTCACTTTCTGAGGTTTTTTAACATCCCCTAGCCTGTATATGGTCCCCCAGTGGCTAGAAATTTCAATCGGTGTAAACTGAGCTTTGGCTATCTTTCTCTGTCTTTGAGAAAATGAAAGCTCAGACGGGCTGATCTTGAATCTCCTCCGTATGACGTCATACGGAGGAAAGGTAACCTCCCCTTTCTCTGCTTTGCCCGCCCAGAGAATTTGGCTCGCCCATGAAAAAGTGAGCTAGGAAGTACGAACGCACGAGCACGATTTGAGTTTTTCCTCGAGAGATATCATGGCTTGCAAACGAGCGAAGCATGGCAGTTGATCAGTGTTCGGATGTACAAATTAACACAAAAGTATTTTTTAGCTCCTTCATCCGAGCCTCTGAAGAAACAATGGGTTAATTTTATTTTCTCTGGAAATGCGCCGACACAACTTCCCAAAGTTTTGTATGGTCCAAACATTTCACCGACGACTGTTTCCTCAACTTGGGCCAATACAGAGCTGGCCTGGATGAACGTCTGAAAATAAATCGATCGAGCTACCAAGCAACAATTTCTGATGTGTAGCCTATAATTGTTCAAGTTCAGACAGGTAATCTTTCTCTCAAAATCGTTCAATACTGTTTATGAATAAGTCAAGCCAGTGACTAAAATATCAACTTCACATCGTTTCTTTTAGTAGGATGAAAATAATCTTATTTAAATTGTGAACAAATTATACAGAAAGCGATCAAAGAACAATCTTTCCACACAGCGCGAGTTTATCTGCACAACTCGTTATGAAATCAATGACGCGCGTTACACTGCACAATGAAGCTCTTACTGTATTAGGTATTTACATCATCGTGTTTGCATTGGGGAAAGCATTAGAGAGAGTGCAGAAACTGAGTTGGTGATGATAAGATCTTCATTCTCGCGATCAACAGACTGTCATCTGCTTGCTCAATGCTCAGCACGGCAACATTTTATGTGACGGGAATAGATCTAAATACTTTAAAAACTTCTCACAATTCGTTAATCTCGATAGCTGTAATAGTAAAAACGTATAATAGCGGTAGTAAAAGTATTCGAGAGAGTTTCGCATGTAATATGTAGCTATTTCATATGCAAGCATGTCAGCCAATCACAGCAGTGGCCGGTTACACCGAATCCCACAGCAGACACGCCCCTTCAAACAGAGCGTTCAAATCAGAGGCTAAAATCAGGCTAGGAAAAATGCCTTTTATTTCTAAATTATGACTATTTTTGATCTAAAAAACATACTAACATTATAAGGGCAACCCAGGAAACATTATAAAATAATAAAATAACCCCATGTCAGGGGACCTTTAAAACTCAAAATGATCTGGAGACATTGAGGTAGATATAGAGGGGTGAACACCAGCAGTGCAGGATCTCTTCCTGTTTTGTGTTTATGTGCCATTACAAGTCCCCGCTCACGCCCTCACCGCTCAGTGATTTGTGTGTTTGACAAAAAAATGTGCTGAATCGGCTCAAAACAAAAACAGTTGCGGAAATGAGCCTCTGGCGAGGACTTACAGAGAGGCTTCTCCTCCAATCAGAGACGACTGGATGGAGTGTGTTCTGCTGTCCACTGCCAGGACCCTGCACCACTTCATTGGGTCCAGGCACCACATGGACTGGCATGCCAACAGAAATCCTACGCCATGCCAAACATACACAAATTTACACCAATTCTTTGTGGATGCAGTTCTATGGAATTCAAATGCAATAAATAAATCTATAGGGGAGTCTGGAGCTTATTGTCATATGGTCAGGACTCGGCAATAAGGACTAACCGATGGCCCGGGGCCAGCGTGAAAGACACTCGGGCCAGTTGAAGGAACTGTCACCTGCCCGATTGAACCCATGCTGGATCTTCATGGAAGTTGATAATTTGCAAATTTTTTTAGCCTTGCCAATTTAAATTCAAGCGCACGTAGAGGCGAAGGTACCTGCGCCTCTCAGTTTGGTACTCGCGTGCTGTGTGATAAGTTTTGTATTCACAGCAACACACATCCAAAGCGCACACCAAGAACACCGCGTCTCACAGTGTGCAATTACTCTTTTACGTCTTCCTGAGCTTGCACTGACATATTCACACAAAATTATGTCAAATTGCCCATCTTGTCAAGATCATCGTAAACAGTCAGTTATGTCTAAGGTGAACTTAAACATGTGAGGTAAGATGCATGTGTAACAGTATATCGTTTCCGTGCAGCTCTTAAAGTGACAGCAGCCTAATTTTACTGCTGCTGACTGTTTTTATGTTAATCAAACAAAAGACAGAATAAAAACGCTCACTACTATTGACTGAATAACTTTAATAAGAGTTCATCTATATTTATACAGTGAAGACTGTGTAGTGATATTTTACATTTGATTACTATTTCTGTACCTGAAAATCTTGTTATATTACTGACTGTCTCTAACAAT